CTGACTGCTACTACTGCAAAGAACACAACATAGATGACTCAGTTGAGATCCTTCAATATGCACAAAAAACTGTATTGTGACAAGAAAACCATTAAATGGGTATAAAGATGATGAGGAAACTCTGGATAGTGAGTGAAACTCCATCCTCATAAACCATCATGATGTCCTTGCAACTGCTTTAAAAGAAATAGGCAGATCTGAAAATCCTCAGTTATGTCTTGAAGTGTCTTTGTACGGAGCAAATGCTCAAGATGCAGGGGGGCCAGGAAGAGAATTCTTTTGGTTATGCCTTCAGCAAATAATGGAGAAGTACTTTAATAATGGACTGAGGGAACACATCTGACTATGGGTCTCATAATGGCACTAAGCATCTTGCAAAATGGCAATATACCCAGGTTTCCAGAAGAATTATTACAGGAGATATTCATCTGTGATATCCAAAAATCCAAGTGCGTGGTTAATCTCTGTGAAGGCTTCAACAAGCTGGACTTGCGCGAGATTGTAACAAATTTGTCAATACTTCTACATCTCTTTCAACCCTCAAATACTGCTGCCTTAACAAGAAGTTAATGCACATGCTTACACCCATATTTTCAGAAGTAATACACGATCCTTTGAAAATGACCGCCTATATGCAGCATTTTCCACATATACACGAAAGGCAGCTGGTGGAACTAGGGATCCAAGGATAGTGTAAAGTTTCAAATAGAAAAAGACACGGCAAGAACTGTATAGGGTCGCTGACATCCTAGAACAGTAAGGACAGCATAGGCTAGAGCAGGCACGTTACTCAAAAATGTGGATTAGAACAATGTTTTTATGAGATAAGCAATTCCTTGGGCATTTCTGTTTTGTAAAACTGATGACTTACACTATGAAAAACACAGTTAGCATAGGCATTTCATCTCATCTATTCGGTTTTTAATGCGTTCGGCACATGAGTAGGGCGATGTTTGAAACAAGCCTAACACATCAGAAACATGCATCGTGGAACTGATACAATTTATTTATTTATTTATTGTGATGCTACATGCAACAACTCGAAATTTAAATTGTTTCACCAACAACCAAATTTTTATATTCTAAAACTACTTTTCGATTGGGAGCTGAAAGTATCCCTGTGAGACTACTGATATACTAAACTTATTTAAAACTATGGTTATTCCCACCATCCTTTCAGCACCCATATTGCACATTTGACTATTGTCTCAGTGACACCCTTTAATTGAAATAGCTGTATAACTAGTTAATACGATGTTGCGGCAGAACGTAAAAATGAGACGAAAAAACTCTAATACATTTTATCCCTGTTCCATTACGCATCCGCTCCGTGGATCTGCTCCGTTCCGCTTCTGCATTTTAACCTAACTGTGACATGTTTTGCAATAACAAAGTCTCATTGACCTTTGACTTTATATTCCTATCCCAAGATCAAGTTGTTTTTCACGAGTCATTTTCAGCTTTTCGCAAGTATTCAATAATGTCACTTTAGATGTCAATAGTTTCACAGTTGTAGCAGTGTTTATAGCAGTTTTGATAAAGCTTTGATACAAATAGATTCTCGTAAGATCTGGTAGAGTTCTCATTGCATTGATTATTGTTTTCACCATTGTGCCAGACATGTAAACAAGGGCCCGTAACTGTACACATTGGATAGCTCCTTGCCTTTTTCTTCTATTTCATATGGCTTTCTGGGAAGTCAAGCGGTTGGCAATAACATGTTGGCTATCCCCTTATCTAATCGTCTTGTCTTTCTCATTTAAATAAAGGGCTCTGACGAGTCAAGTTGTTGGTTAGTCTCACAAGTTGTTGGTTATTTTCTTCGTAAACACCATACAATGATACAATGATACTGCTTCTGTGTAGTAGTTATTTATGCTACTGATCTGATGCAATTTTTCAAACCATCTTACTCTGTGGTGTAGCACCTTATACAGTTGATGTATGAATATATGGTCAAAACAATATATATCGGCACTTAAAGTATTAATTGAATGCCGGTAAAATACAAAACATCAATTTATATATTGCTCAGAATCTCAAAGAGTTTCTCAATATTCATGTCTGAAATGTTTATACATTTGAAAACAATACTGCATCGCTCCTTACTAGCTCTGTATAATGAATATACCATCAAAATAATATCGACACTTAATTGAATGCCTAGAATCTCAAAGATTTTCTCAATATTTACGTCTCAAATGTTTATACATTTGGAAAAAAGCACTGTCTAGCTCCTTCCCAGCTCTGTATAATGAATATACCGTCTAAATAATATCGGTACTTGATTGAATACCCATAATGTATAACATCAATTCATATAAGGGGAAAGATGCTTTACACAACATGAGAAGCGAATGTTCTAAAATTTACAAAAATTTACAACAACAATTCCTCGAAATTTTTGTGAACTTGGCAAAAGGCCTAAATAATAGTTAAATAAGATAACTGAAATTGCCTAAATAACCTTCAAAGCACTGGCTAAGTACAATAAATCACTACAAACATAAATTGTATACACCCCCTGGAACGTTTACTCTATGACTGACTGATTTGAATTTTTGCCAATCATCACAATAGTGTAAAGTGAAACATCACACTAAAAAGAGGGACAATTACACTTGAACATATATTACAGTTTGTCTCAGGAACAGACCAAGAACCACTTCTTGGCTTCTGTACAAAACCAAGTATTATTTTTCCATCTTCCACATCATCATCACCGTAGCTGCCTGGTCGTTTATTCCAAACTTCCACTACATGTGCCAAAATGCTTCATTTACCATGTCCATCAAATCAAATACCACTTCCTACTGAGGAAAAACTCTTCAAAGTATATGACATGGCATTTTGCAATGCATACTTTGGGAAACATTAACTGTGACACTAGTGATAAAGAATATTGGTGCACAGGAATGCAGGACCAAACTCTGGTTCATTATAACATACCAGTTTCTGACTTGCAATTGTTCATAACAAAACACTTGCTCTTTCATTGCTTTTACTGTAATGTTATTTTATTGTTGTCTAAAGCAGAACTAGTAATTATTGCAAGGACATTGTTATCAGACTAAGAAAGGATATCTGTGAGAACTGTTATGTTTTTCATTGTATCCTGTTCTTGAGTTGTTTCATATATAAACTTTGGGCTGTTGTTTGTGATTTTGCATGGTGGACATGGCATTGCAGACATAAGGCTATGGCCTTTGGTTCTTAGGTGGTTGCTATGATAACATTAACCCATTGAGTGGCATCACTCTGACCCCGACAGGTAAAGTTGTCTGGCGTTAGACAGAGTAAAATAAAGTGGAGAGCATCTTGGCACATTGCCACTTAAAGGGGTGAATAAATTTCCAGTTTACCATTAGAATCGTTGCAAGGGATTAACCAGGTGGGAATCGTAATCTAATAATAAATATCAATGCCCAGCATAATGTCCGTATAATAATAGCCATAACAAGGAGAAATTTTCATAAATTTAATTATTTACAGATCTAACATTTCGTCTTGCACTTAAGACATCTTCAGAGTAAAGAATGATATAAAATTACAAAGTTATATATATATGCATGAATAAATTACAACTAATTACAGAGTATAGAATTACAAGTATAATCTAAGGAGAAAGGGAGCGGAAGTAAATAGGATATGGAAAGGGGGATTAGAGTAGAAGAAGGGGGACTGAACTGCCTTGTACGTTCAGGGTAGGTTTAAGTTTGGAAATGAGAAGGCTTTCATGGATCATAAGCTTGTCAGAGGAAGAGCAAGATGAAAGAATTTTAAAGTCATCAAGGGAAGCTGTATGACCAGTGTTGTCAAGGTGTTGAAGAATGCTGGTCAATTTTGGGCTGCTGCTTTTGTTACCTGTTAGAGCAGAGATACTAAGTGTTCAGATACTCGTGTGTGCAAATGACGGACCGTTTGCCCACATACAATGAGGAACAGCATCGACACTTAAAATGATAGGCTACACAAGATCTTAGACCCTTGGGAATTTTGTCTTTAAAGGTAAAAAGGTGAGAGAGGTGTACAGTTGGGCGAAAGACGGGAAACGCTGAAGAACAAAGTCGTGAAATTTGAGTACGAATTTGCAGAGAATGTAAACCAGTGAATGGGAGACAGACATACATAACTTTCTTGGGCACCGAATGAACTGCAGCTTTGGGTTGAAAAACTTTGTCCAAGAAAACTTGTACGCACCGATCAAATAAGCGAGTAGGATAACCATTTCGGTTAAACACTTTTCTGAATAATTCCAGCTGAACATGGAAGTTCTCATGAACAAGGCAGTTCAGTCTCCCTTCTTCTACTCTAATCCCCTTTCCATATCCCATTTACTTCCACTCCCTTTCTCCTCATATTATAGTTGTAATTCTATACTCTGTAATTAGTTGTAATTTATTCATGCGTATATGTAACTTCGTAATTTTATATCATTCTTTACTCTGAAGATGTCTTAAGTGCAAGACTAAATGTTAGTTCTGTAAATAATTAAATTTATGAAAATTTCTCCTTGTTATGGCTGTTATTATACGGACATTATGCTGGGCATTGATATTTATTATCAGTTTACCATTGTCTAGGCAAATTAATGTTTTCCAATTACTGCCAACTGGTTAGTCCATTGAGTTGTCAGGGGGAGAGTGCTGTCACTCAATGGGTTAAAGAGTTTAAAAAATTTGAAAATTGCTTTATATTGGGTTCAAAACAAAGGATTGTTAGAATAGCTGCCTCAAACATATTTGGTTTACATTTCTCAGCTAGTTAAATTTAAAGCATATTGAGTAAATTTAGTCAAACCAGTGATATCCAAAATAGCACAGGTGGTGCAATATAACAAAGTGTGAAAAGGAGGTAAACTACAGGGAATTTAATTGTGGAACCCCTCTGTCAGAGTGTAATGTGATTTAACCATTTTCCCAATCTAATTATAGTTTGTTTATCTCCCTAACCTTTTTGGAATAATATATGCAAACCGTTCACAGTTCTGTTTTAAGGTTTTACTGCTCTGTGTGTGCATAATTAACTGACAGCCTTAAAACCTCTTCATGAATATCAATGCCCATTTGCACAGAGGGCATCAATGGATCGATAACTTGCAAAATCTCTGCTTGAACCTCATTCCCATTTGCAATGTTTACTGGTTGTACAACATTATTGTTACTGTCTTCAAATGGGGATGATCCATGGGGATCATACCCATAAAACTCCACATTCTCTGGTATGTTGTCCATGTTGCCCACTTGATAAAAGGTTATCTGGATTCATCATGTTATTTACCCACATCTGATATGGTGACCAATTCCATGCAGTTTGTATTTTATGATGATTAAATGCTTCTAGGTATTCCTAAAGAGCTAGATTGATTCTGGGGAGAAATACCAGATGTAAGGCAAACATGTGAAGAGAATGAAGAGAATTCCTGGTGTCAAGAATTCCAGAATCTTCCATGGCATAAAATATATAATATTAATAGTGGCAGACACAGCAAAACACATCCCACCAAAGCCGTTCGATTCTCTGGTTATGTGCTGATGGCCCAGCTATCAAACTTCCCCGACCTTCTCCCCTATTTTCCATTGCATCGCAAACCAGAACATTCTCCACACCATGATCTACCAGGCACGGATTTTCTGAGGGGGGGGGGTGCAGGGGAGGGGGGTGCAGGGGAGGGGGGGGGTGCACACACCCCCAGAAATGATTTGCACCCCCCCCCTCCCCCAAAGGCATTTGGCACCCCTGCAAATTATACATATATTTTGATTTGATAGTTTCATATTCGATTATTCTTACTACTAAATTTGTAAAATTACCAATATTATGGTCTCAGATCTCGCCATGCAGGCCTAGAAAACAAATTTTGTTAAACTTTTTCCTTGGCCTTTCCGGGCGTTGCCACCACGCCCCGACCAAAGCAAGCAGCAGCACCCCCCAGATATTTATCCACCCCAACGAACGAAAATCTGTCTCTGTGATCTACTCGAACACGCGAAGGCAAACTCCTCCATCCCTTTCAATAGCACTAAGAAACAAATTGAGGACAACACTTGCAAGATCATTTGCACTGCAATACAGAAAAACTCTTCTTCTCGAAAAGTCATCAATGCATCCATGTATGACCAGGCTCCACCTTATTAGCAAGTGATGTTCATCTAAATGCCACAGGGAATTGGCCCATGGCACCTGGTAGTGTCTACAGTAAACAGCAGCACCCTACCTTAATGCAACATTGACTGGGTCAACTCTTGTCATACTTGCACAGATTCGTCTCCTTGGCACATGAATTCTAAGGGAACGGAGATAACGTAATAGAAAAACCTGTTCAGTGGTTCTTCCATGACGATTAATATAATCTCTAATTTTCTCATCCATTTCTGTGTCAGATATATCACTGGAATGCACTCACATGATATCCTTCTGTGAATAGTCCACCTAGAGATGCCTAACAATCTGGCAATTCTTTGTTTTGAGAAGTCTAGCTCCACGAGATCTTCATTTCTGGTTGAAGTAGGAATGAAGGTCTATCAGGTCTTCCTGTTTGACTAATATTACATCTGAGTTAGGTTACATTTGTCAGCCTCAATGACAGTTAGATAGTGTGTTGCTGCAAATTTTGTGAGATAGTTTCAAAGCAGCCGGCGAGCAACTCCTATTGTTGTTGGTCATCTTCATTAACCTCCTACAGTATTAACCTTAACAAACTTATAGTTTGATCAAGAACAACAAGAAGGGTTTGTATTCCACTTACATTTCTGCTGTCATTGCAGATAAGGTATTCTGCTCTATCAAGCACTGTTAGGAAAAACGAAGGTAATTTTTCCTCCATGTTGAACTTGTTTATCCCTTCTTCCACAGCTTCATTTATGTCCAAGCTTTCTTCTGTTAAAACAGCCATATATTCGCCATCTTCCACCTGGCAACAACATGTTGTTTTGGGGGGTTCTGGGGATGAGTTGTTGAATGGTTTAATTGAATGGTTTAGTTGAATGTTGAATGAGTTAGTTGAATGGTTTAGTTGAATGCTTTAGTTAAACGTTGAATGGTTTAGTTGAACTTTGGATGATTCTAAAGTTCCTGCAAATAGCTTTAGTAACTATTTTAAAAACGTTATTTGTTCGCTGAAGACGAAACAAAGCAATTCCACTCGTTGATTTTGTGTGGAGATACATTAAGCCACCCTGTGTTAAGACAGATAAGAGATTTCTCTTCAAATGCATATCAAAGGTACAGATTGAGCAAGACCTTCAATCACTGCAGCACACCAAAGCTACCGGTATTGATGAACTGCTACCTGGAATGCTGAAAGACTGTGCAAAGTACATTTCCGGTCCTCTATGCTACATCAACTTATCAATCAAAAGCTGCACGGTACCTACAATCTCTTGCAAAATAAAACGTGCCATCATGATTTGGTAAGGCTTATCCCCCTTTTCCCCATGCAATGTTGACAAGGAAGGCCTGAAACGGTGCTAACAATCACTAATCGACATGAGAAGGGTGCGGCAGCATGGAGTGTCTTGTTTATTTTGCATAAGATTGTCTAAAATAGGAACGTTTGGAATGCACACTTGGCACAGCTTAATTGTGTAAGATGCGAGTGCAGATTATTACTAATAAAGGAAGTACAATTTACTGAGAATCATTCAAAAATATTAGCACACATGTTTGAACAATAACACCCATGTATTTTATGTTTATTTCTGTAAAAACGTTATAATATATGTAACAAAACAACTTGTTGACAACTATATGTATATTTATAGTGCGAATATGTGGCATGCAGTTAATTATTGAAGTAATGAAACTGACAACACAAAAATTCATAATCATGAATAGACCTAAACGTTGCACAACAACAATTATTCTCATAGCTGTGCTTATCAGATGTACAGTCAGTAGAGTGTGGTGAATTTCAGTCTTTTAAATTAAGCATCAAATGGACATCGAAGATCAATTAGATAACGAGCCGCTTCGAGTTAGAAGGGTTTATTTAATTACATACAGTCAACTCAATGCCAATATTTTTCCAACACATGAGAGTTTCGTCAGCATAGTTCAAGATGCATTTACTGCCTGTAATATACAGCTACTTCAATGGGTATGTGCATAAGAAAACCACAAGCAGTCTGTTTCTCAACTAGTGGTGAACAAGAAAATAAAGTCCAGTCTAGAACTTTTGTCTTTTGGGCAAGAACAACAAAGGAAGGTAAAATCGACCTTGCCCAGTTCATAGCCAACCGGGCCTCCAAGGCAGTCAATGAAGCAATCCGAGTGGGATGGGAGTTAAAAGAAGCACCAAGTCTGGTAGTTCGGTACCGACAAAGTCATTTAGAGTGTCTTCAGGCAGCCTTTGAAGGAGATTGCATCTTAATTTGCAACAACAAATGGCTAGATCTCGCGAGAAATATACTCATGTGAAACAATATCGAGATATCTGAGTTTGTAGGGGCTGTACGGTTACTACTAGAGAAAGGACAGGGGAAATATCGAAACATTTTAGTGACAGGGCCTTCTAACTGCGGAGAAATGTTTATCCTAAATCCATTGAATGTAATCTACGACACATTTACCAACCCTGCTAGTACAAGCTTCGTGAGTCGAGAGTTGTGAAGTAATATTTTTGAATGATTTCCGATGGACAGCGCAGATTATTCCCTGGCATAATCTCCTATTGTTGCTCAAGGGACACATGGTACGCTTTCCAGTACCGAAGACGCACTATGCTCAAGACATTGTCTTTGAAAAAGATGCCCCAATCTTTGCCACGGCCAACAAGCACTTCAGTTTTGTGCGAGGTGGTGCAGTAGACTGCATTGAAACGGAGATGATGAGAGTCAGATGGCATTGCTTTCAGTTCTTCTCGCAAATCCTGCAAGTTGAACAAGTGAATATCCTATCATGTCCATGTTGCTTTGCAGAGTTTATTCTTCACTGAATATTTAAAATGTCTATGTTTATCGGACATACATTTTCGCGAAAATGCATGCAATTAGCATACTAATCAAATGCATGCAACCACATACTAATCATTGTTCATATGTGCATGTGACGGGTTATCATTTAAAAATCTCAAAATTACATATTTTGTTTCTCTTCTACAAAGTTTGTTGACTAATTCACTTAAACACTACAAGTTATTCAACAAATGCTGGAATTTGGAAACGATTTAAAGTGTTGTATACGCAGAATAAATGATGGATAACCACTGTGATCAGAAGATATATGAGAGAATACATATTATGTAATATTTTCTTTTGGTTTGAATGGGTCACCGTTACACAATCAGCTTGTATTAGCTAGTTTCTTAAAAAAATGGAAATGTTAACTTTACCATGGTACCACGGTACAAACCTCAGATCTTATGTATTTAATGTGTGGCCAGCATACTCGTTTGAGTTGTTTTGACACTTGTTTTAGACAGTGACCCGTTATGGTGATACATTAATTATTCAGAATTGTGCATTTCGGGGTGGGTACATGGGTTGTCTGACACAACCCATCTTAACCTGACACAGTCACAGAGATGGTATACATAATGCATTGCATGTTAATATTTCACAAAGAGTTATTATAATTTTGGTAGTTAATCGGCGTGTTCATACTGCTTTGGTTTGCCCATCAAATACGCACAGCCATATCAATATAGATGAATATTATTTTTTAATTAACAATCAGTTCATATTACATTGTATGCGTTTTATTGTCAAGATATACATTGTCGATATAATTATATACAATGTGATGGGACTTGACAGTTTGATAGTTCTAATATCTTAAACGCTGTCCTTTCCTCTTAATGATTTCTTTCACACGATGTGGCATTGAGCCAATTGTGTTATTTATTACTTCTAGGGGTAAATATTGAATTGTAGAGATAACTCTATTTTTAAATTCCACGTATGTTTCCTTCGTGATTTGCAACCTTATCGCTTGCTTATGCAACGCGTCTGAAACTAGTTTAAAAATATTCTCAATAGGGTTTAAGTCCGGACTTCTCGGGGGTATTTTTAGAAGTTCACAGTTTGCATGGTCCATAGCTGCACGAGCCATTGCTGAGTTTTGACTTGGATGTCCGTCTTGTAACCATAATTGCTTTAGGCTTTTGTCTGCATTGCCAAACATGCTTTCAAAGTTCTCGTCAATAAAATTGGCAAAATAACGGCCATCTAACTTATCATAAGCTTTGCATATGACCATGCCCTTGTCATAACTTATAGCTACCATCAGCGTTACCACTCGACCACCAGTTCCTGTCTTTTGTCCCTTTGCAGTACATCCTGGCGTTAGTCCTTCGCTTCTCTTGCGCCCTACTCTGCCTTTGGGTGCCAAGGCTTGATCCAACGAAGTTCTCTTATACGCAATTCCCGTTCTGTCGAGGTAAAACACAATATCTTGAGTCCACACATCGTGAGAATATTCATTTTACATTCTCTGTGCAAAAGTTCTCCTCTTTTTCATATCAGCTTTCATTAACAGACCTTTCTGCCGAGCTTGTAGATAATAATAGCCATCTTTATTTAGGAAACGTGAAATTGTACTCTCTGAAACGTCTTTTCTACAAATGCATGTGTTTTCCATCAGTCTCATGATCGTGAAATTACCCTCTTGCTCTCTTAGGATCGAAATTGACAAGGAAGGCCTGAAACGGTGCTAACAATCACTAACCAACATTGAGAAAGGTGCAGAAGCATGGAGTGTCTCGTTTATTTTGCATAAGATTGTAGTCTTTGGAAGATTGCAAAAATTGTATCAATCTATAAATCTGGAAACGCAAACTTGTTAGAAAACCATCGACCTATATCGGTGTTGCTGGTATTGTCAAAGCTCATTGAAAAAGCTGTGCACAAGCAACTCCTGGACTATCTTGAAGGAAATAATTTACTGAATAATTGCCAATATGGTTTCCGAAAACATGGTTCAACTAAGTTAGCTGCTGTGCAATAATATACGTCATGAGTTAGATAGTGGAAAATTTGTGGGAGCTGTTTACATTGATCTCAGTAAGGCCTTCGACACCATTGGTCATGGAATATTGCTGAACAAGTTGGAATCTTATGGTGTTATGGGGAATGAATTAACCTGGTTTACCGATTACCTGTTAACAGAAATCAAATAGTTGAGATAAATAATGTGCACTCGGATATGGAGCCTATTTTCTGTAGTGTTCCCCAGGGCTCAATTCTTGGGCCTTTGCTGTTTATAGTATTTTTCAATGATATTGCGGAAAGGATACAGCATTCAAATGTGATCACATATGCTGATGATACTGTTGTTTATTATTCAAGCAATGATGTGAACGCAATTGAGGGTATGCTAAATCTGGAAATGGAAAACATTGGAAAATACTGCAGGGAAAATGAACTTTTACTAAACCTTAAAAAGGGCAAAACAGAATCCATGCTCTTTGGAACATCTAAGAGGATTAGTAAATATGGCAGAGATCTTAAAATCCAATATTAAAATACTGAAATAACTTTTGTCAAGGAGTACGTTTACCTGGGTAACACTGTGGATAGTCACCTACTTATGAACACCAATTTTGATTGTGCGTACAAGAAGGCAAGTGGTTGTCTCAGATTGTTACAAAATGTCAGAAAGTATTTAACAGTTGATGCAGCGTTGAAGATCTTTAGGATGATAATACTTCCTATATTAACATATAGCAGCACCGTCAAAATGACCATTACAGAGACACAAAAGGAAGAGTTAACTTCGGTTCAAAAACGAGCAAAGAGCATCATACGGAGCGAAGACGTACCAAACATCATTGACGTCATCGAATGTGAATCCTGCCTGCTTGTGAAGAAGTGTTTAGAACAGGAAATACATAATCCAATTTTTGACGAGTATTTTACAATGATTAGTCATGAAAAAGGAAGAAGAAATAACAATTGCATGTTAAGATTACCTCGAGGTAGCAAAGCAAAATTTTTATTTTGGCGGAGCAAATTTATACAATGCTCTGCCATTAGATTTAAGATCAGTCCAAACTCTCGAAAAGTTCAGGAAAGGCTTGAAGGAACTGTTTTAACATTTTTAGTATTCATCACGTTATATTACTAATATTTTATGGTTTTTAGTAGTTGTTTATTATTAGAGATGTAGGTTTTACAGGACAAGCGTGGATAGCAGTTCTTGCGTTGTATTTTCCTGTAAATATTATGTAAAAAACTGAAACTTTAATCCTGTATAAATATTCAGAAATAATAATAATAATACTCCCCAATTTTAAAGAATATACAAAAGTGATCATATGAATAAAGAAATAATACAATATTTAATGGCCTTATCATATCTAACAATAATGTGGCTTTTGTGGGAATATTTTTGAAGTCTGTTTTTGTAAATAAGCAAAGATGGAAAGCAAAAATATAAACGGGGGATAACTCAGACTGGGGGAGAGTTCAGGCCATCTCGCTATCTGTTCAGCAGTCCTCTGTTTTTGCACATGCACAGATAATCAAAAGGGATAACTCATTGTTTTTTTCCTCTTGGACCACTTATACCATTGCACGATAAGCACCGCTTTGATCGTTTATTAGTCTATCAAAATCACACAGAATTTAAAAGTAACATTAGCCTATATATGTATGGTAATACATACTGTATTTATAACTATTCAAATATTATGCAAATTCTAAGGACAACAGTGGAGCTTCATCAGCACAAATTAAATTTCTCTTTCTGTTTAATACCTTCTGACTATCAATTTTTGATTCAGCAGCTTCATTTTCACTCAAATTAATCGAATATCCATTGCTAATCGAGTCAAAAGACAAGGATTCTACTTCTTCCACCGTTTTTTGCACGAAATGTGCACACTGCTCATCCTGATAAATTTATGTGTCCTGCATAGTAGAGGTAACAAGACGCCTGCTCAGGCGTTCACACTGGCCTGAAAATAACTAGATACGTGCTATGGTGCAAAAGGCAGGAATACAAATCTTAAACCGCAAGCAAATTTTATGGACTTTTTAAAAAAATAAAAGACCTTTTCGGGAGAGGTAATGGAGATCGATGCACGTGCAAATCATGCCGACCTACAGAATCGATTTCTGGTTTTTCCTAACAGCGCGTTGTTTTCATGTGCGTTCCATGGGCCGCGCTAAAAATATAAATATTCTGTAAATACCGAAATAAAAGATGAGAATCTCAAGACACAAGCTTGAAAATAACACTATAAATAATGTTTTCGATTCTGGTTCCAATAACATTATCACGAAAAGGATATGTCCAAAGGGGCCGAAGTTATGTTCGGCAAAAAGTATGGCTAGTTTATATTGTTTGATGTATTATGAAATATGATACCATACTTGTATTAAAATTCGCGTCGAACTAATGTTATTGTAAATGAGTAGACTTGCCACAAGTCGACCTCGAACGAAATGCGTTTCTTCGAGGTCGACTTGTGGCAAGTCTAGCAAATAAGAACCATACAAATGATACAATAATGGTTCTAGTTCTTGTTGGTATTTTGAACGCACGCTTTATCTTTCAGTATACTGTAGCTACCACAAATCTTTTCGTGGGGATTATATTTCGTGGAGTACTAAATATTATATTTTGTGGTTTTCGAGTCATTACACAAAGAAAAACACATTAATTCAACATGCAAGAAAGTCCAGAGTACGACACAACGTAAAATACATAGGAAAGGGCACAATTCTTTGAAAATTCAACGAAACTGTGTAAAATATAGTTTGATCACTCTGTGAAAAGCCGCCATTGCAGTTCGGAATTGTGCGCGTGCGTACAAGTGTATAGGCTAATAAACGAACAATGTACCACAAGCATGGCATGAGTCGGCTAGTACATACATAAATACGTAATTTGTTGCTATTGTATTTGAATCATGGAACGGAGGGAATCGATGGCATTTTGGCTTAATCGTTGCACCTTGAGCCTGCGATGCGCTAACGCAAACTCGATTTCTCGACTACGAAAAAAACAGAAAAAGAGGGATTTAAGACACTTGGCCTACAGGCCAGTGTAATAAATCGCTTGGGATTGACAACTACTGTAAATACCAGGCAGTTTGACAAATACCTATAATTAGTAATCCCTAAGGGAGTTCTTATATAGGGTATGTAACTTTATGAAACCGGTTCATCATATCAATAAATAAACACTGAATATATAAACTAAACTTACAGATATCACTTTATGTGCTGAAAATGTCGGGTAAAATGCTTTAGATACACATCTTTGAGTAGCCTACTCACAGCATTGAAGAAATATTTGTTGAACAACCCCCTCATTTTACAAACAAACTTTAAAGACGCATCTTTGAGTAGCCTGCTCACAACATTGAAGAAAATCGTGTTTAACAACTCCCTCATTTTACAAATGAACTTTAATACATAATGAGCCCCCTGGAAATGGACCGACATCTCCACGCGCAGCAGATCGAGATGTCAACAATACATACTCAGGGTGCGATAATTCAAGATTTTTAATTGTACCCAACTGGTACGCCAATGGTTGTTGCAGCATACTTGCACTAGTACAAATTCAGTACTCAATGTGTACTTTGTCTTTAAAATAAGGTTCATAACATACAGAATTCTGAAAAGTATATTCAAACTACGAGGTAGAAAAAGAAGCCCAATTGCACATACAAACAATTGACCCCAACGTTTCTTAGCACCATCAATCCAACCATGTTTCATGCCAAGACATCTCAGACACATGATATACCAACTAAATATAGTATTGAATATCTTGGGAAAAGGAAAGGTCATGCGGTACCAGCAAAAAGTAAGTATGCAGATAGCAAGAGTTTTGCATACCTACGTGGTACATCACTGAAAACAAAGTACCAGACCGTAATATTGGCATACCTTCAGTATGTAAGTATGCAAATTATCACACCCTGGGCCAGGGACTGGACACGAAAAAGTCAAGAATAAGGTGTAAATCCAAAGAATGTAATTATTGGTACATATATGATTGTGCATGTTTACTTCCACATTACCGTCATGTGTCATAGGCTGCTGGGCCTGGACACAAGTTTTTCTGTGACGGCCAGAAAGTAAAAACTTTGTATTGTGAAACATAGCCTAAAAACAAATCTTAGAACAAATTTGAAGTCTCAGAGTGCAGGAAATGGTGTTTCCAAACTCAGACTGGGGGAGCTAACTCTTGATGAAGGGCCTTCACTCGAAACAAGTTTCTGCTTATTTTTTAAGGTAGTAATATAACCACTCAGGACAGCATTTCTACATTGGTACTACCTACACTGGTACAGACAGTTTTAGTATGTTTCCAAACTACTGATTTCAAAGATTTTCGGAATTTTTTCCTAAAAGTACAGGTAAATACACCCATACCCCCTAGCCAGACATGGCTTTTTATGGCCACTTGTTTCACTATCTCTAAACATGATTCTTTTACTTTACCTAATGTCTGACCAGGCTCAGAGTGCAGGAAATGGCATTTACAGACTACTGATTTCAAATATTTTCAGAAATTTTTTCCTAAAAGTATGGGTATCCACCCGTACCTCCTAGGCAGGCGTGGCCTTATGGCAACTTGTTTTACTATATCTAAACATAATTCTTTTACTTTGTCTAACATCTGACCAGTCG